TCACATCGAGGCAATCCTGGTCTCGCGACCCTGAGAGAGAATCGAGATCGCCATGAAGGAAACGTGATCGAACACCGACGCATTATATCCTCCTGTCCGAGTCGAAATTTCGGCGCTACTTTGACGACCTTAAGGATAGTTTGCGCATATTTAAATAATAATGATAATAATAGTGATAATAATAGAGGAAAAACATCATTTTGTTTTTAGCAGCTAAACCCTGATGAAGATGTAAAATTAAAATTTATGTGTATGGATCGAAACCAGTAACTCTTTTTTACTAAAATATAATAATAATAATAATAATAATAATAATCTTATGAAAATGATTATGTGTATTTATATGTTTATTTTGACGTAAAAAATGGCGTAAACGGAAATCAAAGATATCATGGTAGTGAAAGTAGGAATGAATTATATTATTAGAATCAAAGTTGAACTAATTCTGCTATCTTAGCTTCTACTCTCTGTTATAGAATTTAAAGTCTAACATAGCCAAAATTTCGAATTGGGCGGTGTCGACGTCTCGGTCGCCGCGTGCAAAACCTCTTCGATTCAAATCACCGCGCGGCCGGGGTGCGATGAAGTGCCCCCGCGACCTTCCAAGATTATGCTTCGACGGAATTTTCGGGGACTAAGCGGAAATTTAGCGCGCCTCTTACCTTATCAGATATACGGCAGACTGAGTTTAATCGCGACCGCATTGGGAGAGCGAGGAAGTTCCATAACGAGAGAGAAAGAGAGAGAGAGAGAGATCAAGTCGACTCTCATTATCTCTGCGACGCGCGAATCAATCGGCTGCCAATCGGTCGAGTAATTCGACGCTTGGTCGATTCGATTCGCCGATCAAAACCGGCATTGAGCGGTCTGCAGTCCGGCGTGCATTTAAACGGTTCCTCCGCGAGACGACGCTTCTTCGAGGAGCGATCGCGGCTGATTAAGTGCGAGCGTTCTTGATCGATGCTCATCCGAATGGCGCTCGCTATTGAGAGTATTGAGGAGAGCGTAATCGTTTCTCGTCGAGGACGCTTCCGCGTTTCTCTCTCGTCGCCGCGACGTTGAAACGCGTCGACGGAACATCGCAACGCAAACAACCCCCTCCTCTGTTTTGTTCCGAAGATCCGGCGATATTTAAGCTCTTCCGTTGGGATCATCTCGTACATATGAGAAACTGGAGAATCGAAACTTTCCGGTACGACGAAGTTAATACCGGTTACAGGGATGGTTAGCCGATACAGCTGGTAACCATAATAGCCAGTGTACGTGGACGAGCTCGGCTGAATGCGCAAAGTATACGCCGGCTAAATCGCGGTTGTCTGAGAAAACAGTTCCCTTTCGGATATTCCGATCTCTCGGTGCTTCCGCGAATTTGTCCTCTCGCAAGCTCCCATCTTGAATTCGAAAGACGTGCGTCCTTCTTTTTCTCTCTCTCTCTCTCTCTCTCTCTCTCTCTCTCTCTCTCTTTTCCTTTCTTTCTCTTTCTTTTTCTCACACACACGTACACACATAATAACGACGATTTAACAATATTCTTTTAATTGAAACAAAATTGTTTCTTGAAATCGAACAAACGAATATTTGACTCGAAAAATAGGGAATTATTTGGTTTTTCAAGTAATAAATATAATGCAATTGTATTCTTCCAGCTCTTGGAGAGCGAAACCCTAGAACTGAAATAAATGCACTCATCTATTTATCTCCGTCTCTGTCTAGTCCAGTGTGAAACAAATCTTCTCATTTATCTATCTACCTGTCTGCATCTCTCTTCCTTGCTTTCTTCCTTTTAGTCAGTTATTGATTTTCACATCTGCAGTTTCCGGATTTAACCCTCCCAGGGACCTCGGTTTCACTTTTCGAAAGATCTCCGCGGATCTTCCGAGGAGTCAGTGAAACTCGCGACCCGTCACTCTTGCGTACTTGCGCGCGGTCGTGTCGCGTCCGCATTTAGACGACGAACTTCCAACTCGGTCTAATTTTAATGCAATGGCGCTCTCGTGCGCCTTCGACACTTTCTGTTCGACGCGCTCGTCGCGAATTACGATTGACACGCCTCGCAATTATCGGACGTGCCTTTTCTTCCCGTACCGTCGCAGAAATTGCAACGTCGGTCGATACAGAAGAAACAGCGATTGCCGATTCACGTGCGATCGACGCGGTTTCTGCTATAACCGTCCGATCCGGAATGCCACCTGCGCGCGCCATAATACATTACTTAGCGGCGGGTCACGTTTTTCCTGTTCACCCGCTACATCTCTCCAGAAGTGCAACGCACCGTACGTGTTCGCCGAGCGGACGGCGCCGGTGGCGGCTGAGGTGCGAAAAAGTCCCGTAAAACTCGGCGCCAATGCGCAGTAAAAGTTAACGACTTCGCCAACTTGTTATTAGACGCGCCGGCAGTTCGATAGAATGAATTCATTTATAAAGCATGTCGCGTTACGCGTCCTGCTTGCGAAATGACCCGAATTCGACGCGGCAGGCTCTCCTGACGTTCACGGACTCCTCTTCTTCCACGAAGACGTCCCAGCGAGATCCGAGATTATTTTTATAATTTCATTTCATTTATTAACCGGAGATTTTCCGTTTAATATAATATCTACAATTTTAATGAGTTTGCATAATATAATAGTCACCATTATTATTATCATTATCATTATTAGAAGAAAAGCATCAAAATCGACATACCATTTTGTTTTTAGGCTCGAAAGTTTCGTTGAAGGTGTAAAATTACAATTTATATGCATGAATAGAAACCAGCAACACTTATGTACTAAATTATATTGATATTTTTAGTCTTGTGAAAATTATTACATATTTCCTTACAAATATTTCTTAAGATGTTCGAGGATTTCTAAAAACAAGGCCCGAAATCGACATACCTGTTGATATTGATTAGAAATTATTAAAAGAATAAAATAAGAGCACAGAAATTATTATTCTTCTATTTATTTTTGTTTTGTACATTTATTATATGTCTTTATCATGTATATTTATTATTTATCATTGGCACGAGATGCAAAATGTTTTAAAAGTTTGAAAAGTCAAACAATAAAATAGCGTTAACAAACAAAATTACTTACCGATGGTTTATTACTCAAATTTTCACAGGAAAATAACAAAAGCCTCAGCACAACGAAAAATCAAGCGAAGCTAATAACGCGGCCTACCGGCCTTGCCAACAAAAAGTGCCACTGTTGTACACAGTAGACGAAGTTCATGTTCTGTCCGACAGAGTTCAATACTTTACAGCCGAGAAACATGGATATTGTTGGTTTGCCTGTGGCAGTCTCGGTGCTTTCCCTCTCTCTTTATTGAGTACAGAATGGCATATTTATTTTCACAGCAATTTTACAATACAATTATTAAGCTCTAACAGAGATAGGGGAAGAACGAGAAGAAAACGAAGGGCAAAATATAGAGGGAAACGTAAGAATACGCGCAAAGCATGAAGATCCCAAATTCCCCGCTGGTGAAAATATCAGCGAGACGAACCCGTCGAGCGAGTTTATACGAATAAATCCGCGGTGGATCCGCATCTGATGCGTCATAATACACATCTAACGAATTATACAGGTCCACAGGCGGGTCTCCACGCGCGTTCGCGATTCTCTCAAGCGCGCGCGCGACGTAACGGCCGAACACGTTAATAACGGATTCGCGTGCGGGCGCTCCGCCACATCGCGCACGTCCTGCGCGAAATTCGTCGGCCCGCTAACGGCCCGATGAATTATTAGCCGGTGTAATTGATCGCGCGTGCAGCGCTCTCGCCGCGGTTGTTTATTCGCTCGTATCCCAGCTGAAAAGCCGGGCGAGACGCGACGCGAAATCCGGTATGACGCAACGACGACGACGACGATGACGCTCTCGCAGGCCGCGCTTTAAACGATGCGAACGAACGCATTCGTCTCGGGCTCGTTCTCAAGAGTAAGTAATTTCGACGTGGCACAGCCGGGACGAAGGGAGAACCAGGGATCGGTGGTGTGAGCGGCGGTAAGCAAGGAAGGAAGGAAGGAAGGAAGACGCGAGACGAAGACGAGAGCGCGCGAAGTTCTAGAACTGCAACCTCTGCCGTCGCGAAATATGTTACGGCATAACGTCAGGGAAACTATGGCGATCCCGCAATATGGGGCCTCTCTCTCTCTCTATCTCTTTCTCTCTCGGTCTCTCTCGCTGGCTTGCTCTCGCTTCCTCGTTCTCTCAGTCACTCAGTCCGGGAACGAGATGCGTCTGTAACTTATTTCCCGACGCGTTGACTGCCGAGACTGCCGACTGCCGACGTGCATTCGTTATCATTCGTTTTAAATGCAAATCCGCAGCGGCTGCCGCTGCAATCGCGCACCTAGCGCTCCGGCATTGTGGTTGTTTGCGCGCCCATCGCGTGTCATCCGCGTGCGCGAGCGCGCGCGAAAGTGGAATTTTCAGCGCTGACCTCAAAACGCGGATGTTTTACCTTTGTACGGAGGACGGAGATATTTAAAACGCGCGCGCGTAATGGAGCGGAAGCGCGATCGTATGTTTGTTTCGTTTGTATCGAGAGACGTAATAGCGTCGCTGCCGCGGGCAAAAAAAAACAAAAACGTGCCGTGAAATATCGCGATCGAGCGCGGAAAACCGGACGGTTCTCCGCGTCCGTCCGGTTTTTCCGAAATATCAAACTCGTCACCACCCGATTCTGTTGTTTTTCATGTACACGCACACACACACACACACACACACATATATATGTTAAATCGTTGAAATGTTGAGTCGTTGAATCAACTGATAACTTATTGCAACAACTGTAAGATCTGTTCAATGGATTAAACGTTGTGCTTGAGCACAAATTTTGTTCGGTTCGGGAGAAATTTCGTTGAATCTACCACTTGATTTTCTCAATGTAATGCACTGCGATCTCGCGTCGAGACGCTTTCGTAGCGTGTCTCATCGATCGTCCCTTAAACGCGACCGACTGACTCCCTCTCTCTCTTTTTCTGCTCACGTGTGTGTCTCCGTTTCCTTTACAGATCAGATGACCGACATTTGCAAGAAGTACTTCCTGCGGGATCTCTACAGGAAGATCGACGGCGCCGTTCTTACTTCGCAAAATGAGAGGGACCTCAATTGCGCCATTACTTTTCAGACTCACAGCATCCTACAGCGGTTCATGCTCCGATTCGATCAGCTGCATCTAGACTGCAACGACCATCTCTACATCTACGATGGCGCGCACGCGGTCGGCAGTTACAAAGTAAGTCACCCGTGAAGCCCTGCATGTGTGTATACCTGTGTACACGGTGTATGTGCGCGCTAAGATGCGCAATTGCGAACGGATCTGCGGCCTTTGTCGCGAACTGTCTCACGAGGATAGCTTCGACTCTCGAGAAGCTTCACCTCTCACGATGCGATGGGATATTCAGCGGTACTGCGAAGATAACAATACGACGCGTTTTGCTCGAAGAGATAAAGCGGTCGCGAAGCCGGGTGAGAAGAAAATAATATCGGGGATCGTTTGTAATTCAGCTAATTCGCTAAAAAGATCGTCCCGATGTTGCAAATACGCGAAAGATCGTATTTCGTGACGATGAGGAAATTCATCTTCGTCGCAGTTCACAAATATCTTATTCCCCCTTTACAGACTACAGATATCTTATTGCATTGCGCGCACGAGATTTATGTGGGAACGATGTGAGGCAACACGCGACTTTCATGATGTCGCCTCGCGACTAAGAACATCGGAGCCACGAAGTCGAAACTTTCGGCGATTCGGCGCGCGAAGAGTCAATCTGAATCCCTGGTCGAAATTTTGAGGTCACCTTTAGGCTCTTGAAAACATTTTATGTCTATTTAGGTGATTTACATTGCAAATCCAAGCGTGTTATTTTAGCTGAGGCTTTTCTTACACATTTCTTGCCGTTTCAAATCACGTAATCATTTAACACAATCGAGCGTGTTAACTTATGATCTAACGCGATTAAATGTTTTAAATGATGTAACCTAAAACGACAAGAAACATGTGAAAAGAGTTTCAGTCAAATGTGTCATTTTTGGACGTTTATACGTGTAAAAGTAACACATTTGGATTTACAGTATGTAGACTGATAGGAACTATTTTGACGATGCTGCATTTATTAATTTCTCTTTTGAATCTTTAATTCTGCTGATTTCATTTTAACGCTACTTTGAATCATTTATTTTGACGAAATTAAAACAAGAATTTAAGACATCTCAAGTCAGGATCAATATGATGAAATGTATTTTCAATATATGCGTGTGTAATTTCATGGTATTTTTTCATAAAGAATTACACAATTATAGTAAATACGTTTAAAATTACCCACATACGAGGGCAAGACAACGAAATTAACACGTTCGCAAAAAATGTAAATTAAGCAAAATTCTAATTTATTAAATTTTTTCATTTATGCAGATGATAGGTAGGGCTTTAGTTATTCAAATAAAAACATTCATCATTATTTTTACGTCAGTATGAAAATGAGGAAATATTGACAAACTTTAAGATTGTCATCTCTCTCTCTCTCTCTCTCTCTCTGTTACACACATACCCTCCTTTCCCCTACAAAATTTCACCTAGCGATAACATCTGAGTTTGACGAGCTAGACTCGGCAGCGAATCGGGACGAGGGAACTGGGTTAAGGCGGTGATGCTCGCAACATCGCATTCCCACGTAAAAAAGAACGGACGAAATTCATTAATGCGGGATCCATTGCGCGCGAACGCCTGTCGTTCCGCTGATCCGGCTTTCGGATTAGCCGTTACCTTGAGGCTCCTCGACGCGCTCGCCGTATCTCTCACACACGAATCTCATTTGCACCAAAATTAATTTATGTCTTTAGTCGTTCACATGGCTGGAATTTCACGAAAACGCGCAGGCCAGGTGTGCGCCTCGCCGATCGCCAGCTGGTCCGTCCGCTTCCGTCGCGAAAGAGTTCGCGCAAGGACCGAAAGTTCGCCCCGTTGTATAATTAACTCGCGCTCGAGCGTTCCTCAATGAGTCTTTAATTCCCGGTGTTAATTATCGGGATGTTTAACGCCGGATCTCTGTCAAGCTCGCGAGCGTGTAAACGGCGGCGATCGCGCGCGGGGGATATTATTTTTCAATTAATCCGCGATGAATTTTATTGCGAGCGGACGCACAGAGCGCGGGTTCCGCGTGCGCGGAGTTAATTATTAAGCTACTTAACGCTATGTACAGCGCGGAAGTGTTTAAAGGATCAGCAGGGAGCCATTAAAACGCGCGGCAATTTGCGCTGTGAAATTGCACCGCGTTTCAACTGCGGGAACTGCGGGCGGCGTTAAACGCGCGCTGATGCGCGGTGCCGTACGAGTTCGGCCTCCTCGTCGTCATCCTCGTCGACGACGTCGTCGAGGCGAGTAAGCAAAAACGCGTCGACGGCGCGATACCATCGGCCGACAATATTGTTCGCGTCTGCCTGTTTTCCATCCGTCACAGACCGTCTGTTCGTGACGCAACGACAAGATTGCACGCGTTATAAAATTATTATGTTTTCGGGATTATCTCTCGATTCTCATTCCCGTTTACGAGAAAAGAGAGAGGAGAGGCGAAGGGAGGGGACGGAGACGAGAACCCGGCCCGCGGTTTTACGTAACACGCTCGCTCGACGAGGTTCGTGGCAAGAAAGATCCGAGAGGCGAAGGTTAACTACATGCGGGTCCGTCTTTTATGCCCGTCCGTACAAATTCCTGCCTCGATGCGAGAATTTAGCCGGCCGATGCGGGGAGAATTTTATTGTTTTAGAAGAATGAAGTCGTTCGAAAGGATGTGCCGACGACACCCCCGGAGAGTATCGATCCGCGGAGGAGGGGGGGGGGGGGCGTCGTCGGAGAGTTCCCCTCGTAAAATTATCACGAATTACGGAATTACATGGATATTATTATCGCGAGTGAAACAGTAGGAATTACGGGCTATTCGCGATCTAGGTGACCGGCACACACGCCGGTCCGGTGAAATATTTATTTATACTCTGTGTCTCCAAATCGAAACTTTAGCTCTGTGTCGAACTATTAACGCTCCCGGAACACGGTGAATTCGCTGATATTATCGGCTGCGCAGAATGAAAAATCCTTTCGCGCAATTACGCACCGGCTCACCCCCCAACCGCCCCGTCCCGCTGACTTTTTCAGGACTAATCGCGATCCCATCGCGTGTGTGCGCGCGGGGTAGAAACGGAGACGTCAAACGGCCGGGCGGAAAAGGCACCGGACAACTTTATTCGGCGAATCGGAGACGTTAACGGAAGAGCAACTCGTGACTGACGCGTTGTGTCTGCGCGTAACATGTTCGACCGCCGGTCGCGCGATTTTTCTTTTCCGCCCCAACGATCGCGTCCTGCGGACGATGCACTTCTCGCCCGTGTTCGACGCGGCCCGACCTAATTGCCGTCATCGATCAAAGAAGTCGGCGCGCTAATTGCGAGAAGAATGACGTTATCTTTCTACGTTTAGGATGACGTTGTTGCGAGCCTGTGGGCGAGAGACAGAGACAGANGGGGGGGGGGGGGAGAGAGGGCGAAAGAGACGGCTTTCTCTCTCCGGTTGGCCGCCGCGAGGTTGAATTTTAATGTATTTTCCCGGTCATTATGCATTCCGAGCATGGCCGGCGCGGGACAGGGTAGCGGAAACTTGCGCCATTAATCAAGATTCGTTTCTTGAGAGAAGGATGCGCGAGCGGATTCGGTTCCACCCTTGTCTCGAGCCTCCTCCTCCTCCGACTTTTCTCCCTCTCTTCCTTTTTCCCTTCTTCTTTCTTCCCGGCCCTTTTTTTTCCACCTTCTTCTTTCGCAATCGCACCGAGATACCGGCGCTTACCGCGCGAGCTCTATGAAGCGCGCCTGCAGAGAGTATCAAATTGCGCGGAATCGCGCTTTTCCCGGTGAATGCCCGAGGATCTTCGATCGTGTGCAAATAAGAGGATACGAATTGACTCTGTGTTCCATGCAAATGAAAAGTTGAAGAGCCCAGAAGTGGCGCGGAAGTAAAAGCGGAGCGAGGCGCGGCTTTTCCCGCGCCGACCTCTCCACTCCGACTCTTGAAGCGCCGTGATATCCGTTATAATGATGAAATATAGTCATTTTCTTGAGAAAACCCTTATCCGACTATAATATATTGGGAGCTTCCCCAATTTAGTGACACAAGTCGACACAAGCATCATTTTGTCTTTATTCAATGAGCAACAAAGACGAGGATGATGCTTGTATCGATTTGTATCACTAAATGAAAGGTAATCATTAGCAAGCAATCACATGATTCTACTTATTGTGTTGCGAAAAATACGCTCTCGGTCGGGTATCGAACCCGAACTTTCCTATTTGCCAGATAGGGCGCTATTCAACCATCAAGGCCCCGACCATATTCCTCACAACAATCTGTGTTTACAAACATCGTAACGATGTGTGTACGAAAACAAAATTTCTTTTATATCATTTCTGTAACTCTAAGGTCCGGTTTTTCATTTTCCGGTTAACTTGCGGCTTAGACTTAAACTGATGGTAATGCCAAATTTGTATCTTTCTATCGACGGTTAATCATTAAACTGATAGTTTTGTGGTGGTAACTTGTAAAATTAAATGATTAACCATGAATAGAACAACAATTTTTAGACTATCATCAGGTTAAACCTGAACTATAAAGTTAACTAAAATGAAAAATCGGATTTAAGGGAGTGACTCCGGGGTTAAATATACTCTCTCTCTCTCTCTCTCTCTCTTCCCCCTCTTTCTTTTTCTTTCTATCTCTCTATCTCGTGACCGTCTTCGACATGTTTTCTCCGCGTGTGGACGCGAGACGCTGCGTGCGGAAGAGTGAAATATACATTGCACTTCTCGCGAGGAGAACGCGCGAGAGGAGACAAAGAGACATATTGTATTCATCCGTCACGCCGAAACTTTCGACGGGAGCGATGCGTATAACAAGTTCCGCGCGGGAATAAGCGGCCGTGGCGAAACGAGGCCGCATCATCAGAGCGGGCTCCGGGCTTTGTTATTTTCCATCGCGCCGTTGAAAGTTCGTTTCAACGTCGTAATTTCGCTCCCACACGCGCCCACGGATGCGTCTGGTCATTCTTTTTCGTCCGTAAAGTGGAGAGTCCTTGCCGCGAAACACACGCATATATACTGTCGGAGACCGCGGGTGTTTCAATCGGGAGGATCTGCGCGGCTTAATCGGCGCGCTTTGAACGTATCTCACCTCGACATCATTCTCAGCTCATT